CCCGGCGAGACGTTTGCCGAGGTGCAACTTACAGGAAGACTATTGTGTCCGTTCAGACCGGTCAGTAGGGGCAGCCGCGCAGAAACCCACACGTTATGTTACACATGGACTTTGAAGTAGGAATGGACAGTCCAGAATCCCATCCATACTGTCTGTATCTTCGATTGTTCGACATGAGCTGTGCTGAACGTCCTACATAAACAGCAACGAATGCACGCACGCCAGGCACAGACAGGCCTTATGCCGTACTGCGGTACAATACGGCCGGGTACGTGACAAGGCGTCCCGGGGTACTCGAAGGTATCGCCGTCTCGAGGCCGACCAGGCGCTCAGGTCCAGAGACGAGGTCGGTGGCTTTGTACTGTGCTGTAGGCTCTCTGGACTGTCCCGGGCTGTATTGCAGGGTGTCGACTAGCGAAAGGGAGAGACTCCTTTCCGGCTCACTCTCCATGTCCATTTCCGTTCGCCCTCGATCAATCTTCTCTTTCCCTTCTTCGCCTTCTCTGCGGGAGCGAGTCTGCTAGCACACGCCCTCTCCGCCATCGGAGCTCTCGGCAAGGCACCACGGGACGATATCATCTGCACGCGCGTCTTTGTTTCTGACACGTCCCTGCCGTCCCCCTATTGTCATCCGGTGGTCAGAGAACGGGTGGCGAGAGACGGGATGCGCCACGCGGAGAGCGCGAATGAGAGATTATCTCGGCCTTCGAGGCACTCCTCCAGAGGGAGGAGAGAAGGGAAGGGGCGGGGAGGGGGGCAAGCAGGCAGGCAGGACAAGCTTTTTGTCGCAGAAGATGCACGACAGCGGAGCCGGGATTGTGCGTGCCCGGTGCGAGGGAGGGTAGCCAGATGCGACGTCTGGTCGGCTAGGGACGAGGCAAGCCAGTCGATGATGAGGCTGAAGCCTCCATGTCGCGATCATGTTCCCTCCTGAGCCGGGGCATGCCGAAGCTCCTTTTTTTGGGCGAGCCTTGCTGTCAAAAGAGACGACAGCTGTCTGTCTGTCTGCTTTGCCCTTCTCATCCCTTTCGCCTGCGCCGGCTCCCCGGCTGGCTGGGCTCGCACCAGGGCCTGCGCCGTAAATGACCGGTCCTGTCCAATTTTTGGGGTTTCCAATTCGTTATTTGGCTTGTCTTGTTAATACGAAGTGTGATGGAGAAAAGGCATGGCCTGCAAATCCATCCAGAGGCCCTGGTCCTACCTGCTGAGGGTTGGTTGTAACGTAGGTAGCTTCCCGCAAGACGCAGCGCAGACACGTTTCACCTACGACCTTTGTACATACATGACAGTGCTACTGCCGAAGCCGCGCTTACATGCGATGCATGCAGCAACGGCAGAGTTCTCCGTGAGGCAGAGTACAGTTACACGTCTAACCTACATACAAGGGCCGGCGGGCGAGCTCGGCAGCCCGGCCGACATGTCGCCATGTCAGTCATCGCGGCCGCCCGCGAACCCCCCGGTTTGCGAGCGCTCGCGAGAGAGGGAACCCTGCAACGGGGATCCGGTCCGCTGCCGTTGACGACCTTTTGTTCCCTGTCGTCGCTGACATGGGCCGGTCCGGGGTCCGGGGGGGCTTGCTCGTGCGACGCGCCATACATGCAAACATGCAGTGCGAGCACGGCAACGGGCCATGGACGGAGTATTCGTGCTACGGTTACGGTTCTCGTAGACATCAAGCGCAAGCCTCCTCTCGTACGGGGAAGACGGACAAAGCAGCAGGGCTGCCTCGCCACCGGAGAAGGGGGGGAGGAGAGACAGGATCCGATGCAAGGCGCTGGCGCGTACACCACGTGGCAGCCGCCTCCTACGTGAACGAGCATGCCTACATAATGCAGCCAAAGACCGGTGATGAGAAGAGCCAAGGCCAATTCATGATGGAGAAAGAAAATTCCCATCAATTGCTGCATCCCCGTCGGTTCGGGATCCCGTCTCACCGGTTCGATGATCCCTCCCCTTGTTGCCGGCCGCGCGGCGCATAAAATGAACAAAAAAAGACAATGGGTTGAGAGTGAGCCACAGCGGCTCGGAAGCAATGATCCTCGGCCGGACCCTGTGTACAGTCCGCCTCACTCGCTCGGAAGACATGAGTTGAGAAGGGTCCCGGTGATCCATACCCCCTCGTGGATCGCCTCGATTTCGATTCAAGGGATCGCGCAGCAGGGACGGGATCGTCGATGAGGCTGCTGGATGCCACGTTCTGAGCTTTCATGACGCGCCGATGGAAGAAGAAAGAAGACGGGGAAAGGATGGCTGTCTCTCGGCTGCTTTTGCAGATGACAGATAGATAGGGGAGGGGGTTGCTCGATCCATCGCCAATCGGGCGTCCTGTCCACTCGAGATGGGAAAGGAGTCATTTTGCGATGAAAACGGTGAGAAATGCATTTTCATTGTCATGTAGGGCCGCCGATACGAAGAGAGTCAGCTCAAGCACGGCGAAGCCGCGACTCGCTCACATTCCGCTTTGGATTTCTTCTCAACCCGTCGGCGTGATACGTGAAAGGTTACTACTGTCACAAACAACGTTTACTCTGACTTCCCTGTGCCTGAGCTCACCTGTATGTTGCTACGTACGTACACAGCAGAAAGGATTGTTCCCTTGCATGTGCATCAGGGGAGACGGGGATGAGCCTGGTCATCGGCTGCCTGCATGGAAGTCGTCGTCGAAGGTGCGGTGACGACTTCTAGAACGGCCAGCACGAATTCGGTTGCGCCTCGTACGATGGCCGGGTCGCAGTCTACCGTCTCCCTTATACTGTGCAGTTCGTTGCCAGAGTCGGATCCGAGACGAGCCGTGATCGGGTCGTCTTGCGCCCTGGGCCAGACCAGCAAAGATTATGTCCGGTACAGGCATGATATATCTTAATGTATGTATATAGCTACGGGTTAGGGAAGCATCAACATCAAACGACTACGAAACAGCCTCCTGACAATAAATCGATGCAGAAGAAAGGGGCAACGAAACTCCCAATATCATCACCGTCATACGGTCAGCATATGTAGAGGCTTCGTCACCATAACGACACAGTAGCAGCAATGATAACACCAGGCAAGATAATTCCCATCCTCAAGCGATAGCCGCGTGCTATACTCTCTTCAGCCATCGGCCGACGACGCTAGGATGAGTCGTTCGTGCACTTACAGCATGCACCATCTCGCGCGTCAACAACCCACACTCCATCTTTGCAAGTACATACTGCACTGCACGGATGCCTGTTCCTTCTTTTCTCCTTGGAGCTACAAAAGACAGCCGTTGGGGAGGCCAGGATGCGGCCCTCGATAGGTAAAAACGGCCATGACGGTCAAGCCATGTCAAGCCGATGCGGCGGCCATGAAGACAAGACGCTGTGTAAAAACACGGTAATGAAAAAAGGAAAAGTGGTCATGCTGAGTCTGTAGTTTCCTCATTGCAATGCTCGTATCCATCCCCCGTGCCGCTGATTGTTGATCGACACACCCACCAGGACATTGAACGTGGTGTCCATCTACAGACTTCTTTTCTCACGCTTTCTCTCGCCATCCTTTCTCTCTTTCCTCAGCAATGGGAAAACTTCGAAATATCACGTAGCGGCTACGTAACCGCTGTAAGGCCAGGTCCCGTAAAATGCCCTCAGCAAATATCCTGGTCGAGCTCGCGCCTGGAGTCGGAGGCGTCCTGTCAGCGGCTCGCGATCTCCTCTGCCGTCAGATCGGATGGAGATCGGTCACAGAATTGCCCGGTTTTTTCCTTGATCGTATTTTTTGCTTTAGTAAATACCCCTAGACCAGGGGGCGGCAGGGAGCGGGAAGAGACAGAAGACACACAACCTTCTTCGAGCTGCCATAGGTTCGATTGGGAGTCGAGAGAACATGTACCTGCGGTGCCTTGGCTGCGCGGGAGAGCGACACGCATCCCATCTACGGGCATCAATACATGCCGGGCGTGTAATGGCAAGGGGTGAAGGAAGTCGACCGGCCATACGCACAGAGTCGAGGCGATACACGCATAGGACGTACGACGGTGTATACAGCGAAATGCAAGGTTTATTATGCGGTTGCAGAACGGCTGCACGCTTGGCGTAGTTCGGACCTGCATCGCCTGCTGGCCGTGTCTCGCGCGAGAGGGGGCGGCGGGCGACGCTTAGACGAGAGATGATGTCTCCGCGATGCAGCGCGCCGTCGCAGCTTCACCTCGACGGCATTGCCCAGTTGGTTTCTGTCCTCCGTCGTGCGCGCTCTCTCCATCTCGCCTTGTTGCTGTTTCCACCGGTCGCGGTCAGCATTGTCGCTGGGCCTTGAACGCTGTCCGCCCGTCGCATTACCCGTCTTTGTTGTCTTTCTCACCCGTTCCCGGCTCTCGTCGCGCGTAATGCTTGCTCGAGGTGAAGAGGCGGCATTGGGCTTGCCGGCCGAGCGAGGGATGGCGGTTGGGCCGTTGCCGTGCCACGCGAGAGGGCGGCTGTCGCAACCGTCGTCAGCATCACATCATCCTGCGCGCGTGCAACGTCGGTCGATTAACTCCGGCCAGACAACGACGCCTTGTTCCCACAGCTGCTCGACTGTGCGCTTGGGCATCGTCACGCAAACGCCGTCGCCAAGCTCGTTGATGGCGAACTGAACGAATGAACGTTTTGGAGCACATGGTGCTGGAGTCTGCCGGGTCTTGAAACCCTGTGCAACTCCCAGCAGGCAAATGACTCACGCAGTCAAGCCTTGGCTCGAACCGTAGCTCCTCGTCCCTCGAATTGTACACAGCCAAGAATGCCTCGTCTTCCAACGTCGAGAAGAGGGGGCTGTCAGGGCTTCCAGCACCGGAAGAGACGCAGCACCCCACCGGACAGACGTATTGTTCTTTAAAACATTAGTAGCGGCCCTTGAATGTACATCTTTATCACGTCCAAAGACGCGTGCATCGCTCCTCAACAAAGAGGACAATCCTCATGTCACTTCGCCGAGCATCGCCACTTTTGCAGGGCCGTACGGCGAGTGTTAGCCCCGACAAATTCCGGATAGCCGGGTCGGCCTTAGGTCTCCTCGTCCTCCTTGACCACCTTGCGCCTCTTGGGGCCCCTCTTGGCTGTCTTCCATGGTGTCCCGGCTTCCTGGTAGCCAACAAAAGCCTCGGGGCCGACCTCCCGCGCCACCTCATCTCGGCGGACCTCGTCGGCTCCCTCGGTGAAGACCAGGTCTCCTCGCCGGCCCAGCACCTCCCTGCCCGCCTCTTCCAGCAGGATGCCAAAGGCCAGCAGGGCCGTCTCGTCCATGCTCCGCTCGTCGACGTCGCGCCCACCGAGCCGAGGCCGGTGCTTGCGCGCCAGAGCGCCGTAGAAGCCGCTCGTGTAGCCATGGATGGCCTTGAGCAGGTTGCTCTCGGGCAGGGCGCCGTGCGGGATATCTCGCTCGTGGGCGTTGTAGATGTCGTGCTCTGCGTAGCGCTCCGGGGCGTCCTTGCGTCGGAAGAGGAGCTCGTCTGGGGCTAGGGGCGTGTGTCGAGTGGAATGTTTGATGACCCTGGCGCGGTCCTCCCATCCGGCCGCCTCATCTCGGGTAGCTTGCTTGGACCAGACGTGCCCTGTGTCGAGTCAGTACTGTTGCTCCACGCGGCCTTGGGCTCCCATGTCTCGCCTGACCTGCCACTGCGTCGTAGACAGTCGCGATACGACGTCGACGTCGACTTTGGCGAGGATTTTCGGTGTCGGTGAGCACCAGCACCTCGCCCGCTTCACTCTCTTGGTCCTCTGCCTTGACCGTGGCGTGCACTTGATTCCGTTGCCGCTGCATGGCCGACAGTCGTTGCTTCGTACTAAGCCGGCGTCCTTGATTCTGACGCGGTTTGAGGAGAAGGAGAGGAGACAATGAGATGCGATTGATAAGGCAAAATAGGTTGGGCTGGTTTGCACTCAGGTGTTGCTTCGGTCGAGACCTGGGCCAGAGTGCTGGTCTGTCTGTGGCGTGACTGGGTTCATGGCTCCGTCGAGGTGAATGCCGATTCGCACGTTTGAGTGACTGCACCGTAGACTGCTTCTCTTTGGCAACGATGCGAAGTATTGAACGACGACAAATTCAAGTCTTGTTTGGGTGGGTGGACGTGGGGAGAGGTCGATCACAGCTGCTCCACTTGGCTGACATCATCCTCAACTCTCCCTTGTTGCAGCGACAGTTCAGTCGCGCACGCGGAGGTCCAGATGAATGCAGTCTCGTCTCTTCGCCCGCGAGACGGGTGACCTCGCTCCCCATGACCTGGCCCAGGCCATCACCTCTGGCCTCCTCCGCTCCTTTGCGCCAGCTCCGCAGCATCGCTTCCACGGCGAGGCAGCGTCGTCTGCGGCCCATCACAGACCCCATCGTCTTCGCGCCCACGCAGAAGGCGTCGGCTGCCTCGCCCTCGACAAGTTTGACGGGCGCCTTCTGCTGTCTGGCGGTGCCGGAGGATCCATTAGGCTGTGGGATTTGGAGGACTGCGTCAGCCCGCACAAGCTCCATACCTTCAGGCCTGTGAGCACCATTGCGCGGTCCACGCCGGACAGCAGGGCAGGTGGAGGCCACAGCCATGGCATCACCCATCTTGCCTTCTATCCCTTCGACCCCGACGCCTTCCTCTCGAGCTCGTACGACAAGTCGCTCAAGTTGTGGTCGACGGATCGCGCAGCCGTAACTGCAGAGTTCCATCTCAACGCCACCATATACTCGCACTCGACAAGTCCAGTCGCCGACCACCTGCTCGTCGCCTGCGCAACCCAGCATTCCAACGTGCGCCTGGTGGACCTCAAGTCTGGCTCGGCCGTCCAGGCCCTCGTCGCACGCGGCGGCCCTGTGCTGTGCACGTCGTGGAGCCCGCGGCATCAACACGTGCTTGTGAGCGGTCACGCCGACGGCAAGGTTCGCATCTGGGATGTCCGACGCGCCGGCGGCGTCATTGCGCAGCTCGACCAGGAAGATTCATTGGGCGTCCTACACCGGTTCGGCCACGCCGCCGCTGCGGGCATCGACTGGGCCCAGACATCACACTTTCGAGCCTCGGCGCAGGCCCACGACGAGGCGGTCAACGGGCTGCAGTGGACTGATGATGGGCGATACTTGCTGTCGGCCGGGCTGGATCGGCGCGTCAGGGTCTGGGACGCCGCCACGGGCGCCAACACGCTGGCGAGCTTTGGCTCGCTCGTCCAGAACCAACACGCCAAGACGGCCAGCTTCTTTGTGTCGCCCTCGGCACTGTCGACCCATGGGGACCTCCTCTTTTGGCCCAACGAGCAGGAGATCCTCGTCTTTGACCTTCACAGCGGGGACATGATAACGCGGCTGCGGAGTCCCGGCTCGTCGAATCCTGTGGGGCCCCGCGGAGCAGAGACGGGCAGGAACAGGATCACGAGCATTGTCTGGCGGGGAGCCGGCGGTGGTGGGCGTCACGTCGGCCCGGTCGCGGGGGGCGGCAACTCGGTTGGCGCCATCTACAGCGCTCATCTAGACGGGCAGATTCGTGCGTGGATGCCGCGCATTCCCGGGCCAGACGACGTGGATGAGGCCATCGAGCAGGAGCCCGACGAGGACGACGAGGTCAAGAGTAAGAAGAGGAAGGCGGTAGACAACGCCTACCGCAGTTTGATGGGAAAACATATTACATTTACATGATGTCCGCTGGAGGCAGGCCTGATTCGAGTAGAATTGCACGTCCCGGAACTGAGGGAAATGGATTCAAGTCACCCAGCTTGCATAAGCGACAGCCATGTTGATAGCATTGTCGAGTTACAAAATCCCTTGGCTTTGGAGGAAATAACTCAGCGCAGCAGCATGCTAAACAACAACCACGAAGCAGAGCCAGCCATCCGGGTACGCCGCCTCCCTCATCAGCTCGCCCAGAGGCGCCTCGAAGGGGGCCGCGGCGCCGTGCAAGATGGCGCTGGCCAGGACAGGGTCGCGGCTGCTGGGAAACAGCTGGGGCATCATGTGCTTGAGGGCCTGGCCGAGCAGCCTGGGCTTGCGGTTGGGCGACGCAACGGGTACCAGCGACTGGACGACCTTGAAGGAGCCTGGGTCCGGGTCCGGAGCGCCAGGTGGGGGCCGCGAGGGGATGTAGACGCGGATGGGGACGTGCTTGAGGGCTGTTGGGGCGTCGAGGAGGCGGGCGTGGACTTTTGCGTAGGCAGGGTAGTTGTTGTCGATGACGGCGTTCCAGAGCTGGGTGGTGTGGTCCTTTGACATTTTCATGATTTGGTTGGCGTTGCCGTTGCGGATGAAGTCGGCCTGCGGTAGGATGTTAGTTTCTGAGATCCAAGGGCGCTTTCACTCTTCTTTTTCCTATACTGCAAAGAGGTACGACCAGACGAGCCATGAAATGAAAGAGAAACTTCACCTCCTTGACGCAGTTCAGGAAAGTGTCGGCAATGTCCCACGCCACCCCGCCGCCGACAGTCAATCGCCAAGGCAATTCGGGACGGTACAGGTCCAAGAGCAGGCCTGCGGCCAGGTTGCGCAGCTGGACACCCTCGAAGTGGAAGCTGGAGCAGGGCGCGCCAAAGAAGGCGGCCAGCCGGGGCAGCAGCAGGGCCAGGTAGCTGAAGCGCGGGACCGTCGTCGCCATCGAGGGCGGCGCCGACGACGAGGGCGAGGCGTGGGTGATGTGCAGCGGGATCCGGGCATCCCAGAGAGTCTGGGCGAGGGGTGACGCCATGTTATGAGAAGGGCATTTTCTTTCTGCCCGTCTTCTCACTCGGACGTCTCTCCGCGCGTCTTATCCAGCAGTGCGCTGATGTTGGATGAGGTTGAAATAAAGACGACGGTGACATGTGTAGGGTAGGCGAGTGGGGTAGCCTCACGTGGCCGGGCTGATATTCCCAACTACTTCGTAAACATCGCTCAGAAAAAAGGGCGCTCGTATAAGCAAACAGATAACAATGTATATATCTCCAGCTGATAAGGGGTGGCCTCAGGGCCCTGATAATGCAGAATAAAAGAGACCTCCTGGAGACCTAAATAACTGTCAAGGAAAACGGAAGGGTACTTGCCCACTCAGCCTTGAGGTCAAGCTGTAATTTCCAGTTAAGAGACACTGCTACTTGCAACCTCGTATGTGCCTGCCTCCGGGCTATTGCAACTGTAGAAGTCACACACTGCATTAAGGAGCTATTGATTTCGTAACAGGAAAGCTTATATAACGAGATATAGTTGTAGTTATTTATGCTTGTATTCTTGTAGCTGTCACTCGACAAGGCACTTGTGGCTCTGTATTCTAGGCCCCTTTATTCCAGGACATCGCAGTCATCTGTGGCTTTACTTTAAATAGCTATAAGATCAATGAAGTTGTTCATTGTTAATGCTAGAAACCCTCTACAGGTGCATTGCGCAGGCGCAGGGAATATGCGCGTATAAATTGGCGGTACTGGTGCTGCGCCTTGACCTACTTTTAAGGTGGCAGGCTAGGTATAGTTGGTGGCCAGGCAGACAGGGCCTCACGTTACATTCTGGTGAGTGGTAGAACCCGGTGGGGATGTCGTTGTAAAGAGTGAAACTAGTTGAATTGTTTACTCGAAGGTCTCTCCTAGTCAGGTCTGACTGCGAGCTGTTAAGCAGCTGCTTCCTGGTTCGGGCACAGGTGTAGCGACCTAAGCATATAAAACCACCCTTATGAACTAGCAGGCGACAAAGGATCCATCGATCGCCGCTTGGTCGTGGGACATGACGACCTGGCCCCCCGCATTCTTAACCCAAAAGTGCAGTGTTATCCACCACGCGGAGTTCACCACTACGATCCTAATTGGAACTGGCTGATCGGCCGTCGCTTGAAATTTGAACGACCCAGGCCATCCCTCCTTAGGCAGCCCCCAATAGTCGGCGACGATGTCCGCATTCCTTTGGGTGCATCCGCATCCGGCCTTGGGCCCGACCCACAAGAACGCCGCGTCATCTGCGAAGTTCATCTCAAACGTGTATGTACCAGACGTTACTGGGATGAAGTATCCGGTAAACGCAACCACGACATACTCGAGTGGGCCATTCGGGGAAACGCCGGCACCTGTGGGCTCGCGGTAGAGCGTCGGGTCCCAGGGACCTATAGCGCCAGGCCACCCCACTGTAAGGGTCTCTCCACTGGCCACGGCTGGTGGCAGGCCCGCCAGCAAACTATCCAGACTGATGATCTTAGCAAAGGGAGAGATGAGGTTGTCAAAGGGAATTCGACCGGGCCCGGGTCGGTATAATTTCCACCGAAGTCCTGGTCTAGGGTTCTTGCAACGGATCTGGTCGGGATTTCTGCACTACGAGACGCGTTAATGATTCGTTCTCTTGCTCGGTTGGTTGAGTTATAATCAACCGAGCCTTCTTTACTTACTCGTCCTGCATCGTCGCCGGGGGTTAGGGCTACACAGCGAAGTCCCTTGCAGCATTGCGAGTCGGGGTTTTCGATTGTCGGCTTGCAAACCGCGTCACAAGTGCGGCATTTGCCATCGTCCGGAACATCAGGAACCGCAGGTTTGCACTATATGTCATGTTAACGATTCACCCTTGCCCATAGGATGGTCTTTAAAACGTACTTGTCCGATTTTGCTTTTCGGGCTCACGGGCATACAGCTAAGTCCTGAGCAGCATTTCGACCCGGGCCCTGTAGCATCGAGATGACATGTTGTTTCTTTCTTATGGCACTTCTCGGCTGCTTCGCACTAAAACGCGAGTATGTTAGTATTCTCCCTTGCAGGATTGAGATTGTTGAAAAGAGCCTCAATTACTTACTTGACCGATCTTGCTTGTGGGCGATAGGGGTTCGCAGCTGAGCCCTGTGCAGCATTGCGACCCAGGTTTCTTAGAATCGATATGGCATACTTTTTTAAGCTCGCGGCACCTCTCTGATTTACACTATCAAAGCAAGTTAAAAAAGTTATCTCATAGGATTAAGATTGTCCATTACTTACTTGTCCGATATTGCTCTTAGATGCTAGGGGTACGCAACTGAGGCCTGAGCAGCATTGCGATTTGGGTTTCTTAGAAAAAAAAAACAAACCTTATCAAGCTTGCGGCACTTTTGGTTGTCTGGTTTACACTATCAAAGCAAGTTAATAAATTGTCCCATAGGATTAAGATTGTCTATTACTTACTCGTCCGATTTTGCCCTTAGATGATAGGGGTTCGCAAGTGAGGCCTGAGCAGCATTGCGATTGATGTTTCTTAGAATCAAAATGACAAGCTTTATCAAGCTTGTGGCACTTGTCATCAGGGCCGTCATAGTCGTGGTCATGGTCGTGATCGTCGTCACAACCAACATTGACGTCAGGCATATACTTTGGGTTGCGTTCTCGTTAGGTATCTTAAACAGGCGCTCTAAGTCAGAGCTGGTTGCGGAATGTAACTCTGATGCGGCGATGAACTTGCCGTTCGTTTGCCACTCCTCTAGAAAGCTGCCAGGCCCTGAGACATGGCACGCTATCACATGCCGGCTAAACCAGATGAGGTAGCACACATCGACATAATCGACGAATGACATGGCATGCTCTCCGTCCGGCAAGCAACAACAACATAGAATGGAAGCAATATAATAGAAGCGAGTGCATCCTCAAGGCAGGAGTAAGGTTTAGGGACTGACGATAACCAACGGTTTCTCTTTTATATAATTCTCTCGCTTTTCGCGGAAACCTCCGCAAGAAACTATAAAAATCAGATCTTTCTTTAGTAGATCGAATAGGAGAAATGAAACCATATACTGGTTCTGCACTCATACTTACCTCTTTAGTCTTCTATTTTCAACCAGCTAAAACCTCACCGATACTGGATGTTGGAGATCCTCGGTTTTCGGCGTTCCAAGCGCCAGGCCCGGATGATGGTATGCTTTTTCTATCCTACACTAATCGGGATCTATTAACATATTTAGTTCGCTGCGCGTGCCCGGGACTCAATACGCTCACCAACCATGGCTTCCTGCCTTCGTCTGGGAGAGGCATGAAGATAAACGATCTTATACTCGCATGCTTTCAGGGCTTTGGGCTTTCTCCAGAGACAAGTGCTCTAATTACGATCGTGGGTTTAGTGCAGAGTAAAAATCCCATCGATTTTGTTTTCGACTTAGACGATGTCCAAAGACAACCGTGGAACATAGAGCACGACTGCAGCTTCTCACGTGTGGACTGGGCAGAGGGCGATATCAATACGATCGATCTAGAGACCTGGAACGTTGCTCTCGAGGAATTAGAAAAGTGTGATGTAATTGATGGTCTTTGCATGGGCCGTGCAAAAGCCGCACGAATCAAGGCCGAACGCGCAAGAAACCCAAATACCCTGTATAACGATAAGGCTGCCGCTCACGGTGCTGCTGAGGTTGGGATGATACTGAGCGTTCTTTCCCCGACTGGGGAGACAAATCTCAGCTTTATTCGTTCCATTATTGAGGAGCAAAGGATACCGACGCATCTTGGCTATATGCCCCGAGAGTTGAACGCTGGCATGCGCAGTTCTAATCGAATAAATAGGATATAGTCCAGACAATTCGGCCGGTTGACCCCGTTCCCATAGATCAGCTTATAGCAATTATTCTTGCGCTTGGCTTCGACCACCAGTTCTATAGATGCACTAAAGCAAATTCATGGACAGTAACTATTCTTTTTACAGCTATAAGCAGTTCTTCGCGCTTTATGCCACCCACCTCGTAAGCTTGACCGCGGCATTCTAGACCAAAGGGTCGGGATGAATTAGGAGCCGTACAAGGATTAGGGGATAAACACAAATTCTTATAAACGGTTTTTAGAGTTACAATTGAATTATCACCGCCTCTTAAGTGACAAGGTGTAACGTGCGAATGTTAAAACAACAAGTCTTCAATTCGGGTAGTCGCTAACGAAGATACGATATCACAAAACCTATTCTGCCAAAGACATAATCCCCATTCTTGAACTCTCTTACAGCCCCCTGTGCTGTTCTTGATGCGAAACACTATGTCGCCTCTCACGATCATGTTTGGGATCATCATGATGCACCGCAACGTCTCCAACATGCTGGCGGAGCACTGAAGGTGGTACTTGCGCCGCATCTGTGGGGTCCTTGTGGGCAATGGCGTGGTTTCTGTGTCTGTCAGTTGGCAATCATGCAAGGAAGTACACCGGGAGAGGCCACGCACTCACGACTGCGAAAAAGTCTTGTTTCCACCAATTGTCTTGGATCCATCCAAATCGCTATCAACCCTCGGGTCAACCTTGTTGAGGAGGTCCGACTTGTGCGGTCCTGCTGTGTTCGGAGCTGGACCTGTACCTTGGGTGCCAGTGTGCGAACCCGCCGTGTGAGTGCCCGTCGTGTGAGTGCCCGTCGTGTGAGTGCCCGCCGTGTGAGTACCCGGGACATGCGTGCCAGCAGTGTGTGTCCCCTTGGCGGCGCCAGCATTGCGGCTACCGTCTCTGTCCGAGTCGATCCTAGGATCGGCAGCATTCGCCAAACGACTATCGTGCGTTCCGTAAGTTCCCTCAGGGGCTCCTCGGGTGTTGTGGCCATGAGTCCCAGCCGTGTGCGCGCCAGTAGTAGTGTGAGTGCCAGTGTGCGTCCCCGAATGGGCGGCGCCGGCATTGCGGCTACCGTCTCTGTCCGAATCGATTCTGGGATCGGCGGCATTTGCCAAACGGCTATCGTGAGTCCCGTATGTTCCCTCAGGAGCTCCATGGGTGTTGTGGCCGTGAGTGCTGTGCGTTCCGCTCTGCGTGATTCCATGCGTGGTATCGGCTCCAGTTCCGCTAAAGAAGGCACCACCGCCAGTATTGCCGGATGTGCCATGCGTCGTGGAGCTCGTGTTACCGGTGGTGGCAGAACCTTGGGGATTCGCACCCATGTTCTTCGAGTGGTCGCGATCGGAGTCCACTCGCGGGTCCGCCTTGTTGGCCAAATTGCTGGAGTGGGGTCCGTCCGTCTTGCTCGCAGGCCCATCAAAGCCGCGGTTGGCCTCGGTGGTGCCGTGAACGCCGTGGCTGGCATGGTGCCCAGCGGCCGCGCCTGTTGCTCCCGCGGCGAGACCAGCGCCGGCGGCGGTGCCGTGGTGGGACGTGTGGCTAGAATGATCCCGCGTCGTGGAGGAATCGACACGGGGGTCGAGCTTGTCAGCGACTGCGTTGCCATGTCCCGCAGTGGTGGTCGGGCCAGTTGTTTGGTGTGGCTCGTGGGTGCCATGAGTGCCAACTCCGCCAAGGGCACCGGTTGTGCCATGGGTACCAGTTGTGCTGTGGGTGCCATGGGTGCCAGTTGTGTCAGGAATTGCGGTCGTGCCATGGGTACCGGTTGTGCCATGTGTTCCGGTCGTGCCCTGGGTACCAGTTATACCAGTTGCACCATGGGTGCCGGTCGTGTCATGAAGGCCAGTCGTGCCATGGGTACCAGTCGTGCCAGCTAGGCCATGAGTACCGGTTGTGCCGTGGGTGCCCGTGTGGGACGTCGTGTTTCCCGTGGTTGCTGTCCCTTGGGGATTGGCACCCAAATTCTTCGAATGATCCCGATCCGAGTCCACTCTCGGGTCAAGCTTGTTCCCTAGATCACCGTGGGGTCCGTCGGTGGTAGAACCACCGCTCTGAACGCCCCGGTTGTCGCCTCCGAGAGCATAGTTGTCACCCGAAGAGTATGTACCGTGAGATCCGATATTGGTACCGGCCGCGTGGGTGTCTTTGGTGCGAGGCTGAGAAGGGTTGGCTGCAGATGAGGTGTGCGTGGTATCGGTGACGGTCTTGTCGTCGTTCTTGGACAAGGCGCCCTTGACCTTGTTGACGATGGAAGACATGGTGGTTGGGTTTTCTCTCGTGTCGTGTGGTGAAAAGGTGTTTTGAGTGGAAAGGTGAAGAGTGCGTGAAATGATTGCTGTGAGCTTTGTGTTTATGGTATCAAAAGTGGTGATGATGGTCTGGAAAAATGGTCTTGAGAGGAGGGCCGGGATGAGGTTTATATATGTAGAGATTCCATGCACACTTGGGCCATCTCGATCTGGTAGCGGCGACATCACTTGCCAACTATGGACGCACAAGCCGAAACTGAGCATCACCACGCCTCCTCTGTCGTCATCAGGGCCACCAGGAGTGGTGGGGATGTGCCGAGAACCAGTCCGGCAGTCCCCCAGCACGGTCTTTGCACGACCAGGCTCGGGGGGGAGTTTTACAAGAGGCCAAGCTGATTGGTTTGAGTCCTAGCCCTGTCGGCTTGGCCAAGGCAGTGCACTGCCCGAAGGGTGGAGGGAGGGGAAGGCGTCATAGCTGTGACGTTGACGTTGAAGCTCGGGCACCTGGCTCCGCACGGAGCAAACGACAATTAAAGCGAGGAAGACAAAATGCCAGCTAGCAAATGCCACATTCATCAGGGGACACTGTAAAAGGTTACTGTAAGTTACACTGTACAGTCTAACAGTCTGTAGATGGGAACGATGACGTATGACGGAGTGGCTGTGGTGGCGGCGACGACACGGGCCTTTTCTGTTGATGGCATCATACCTACTACCTACCCAGGTACCTACCCGATTGCTCGTATGTACCGGGACCCCTGCACCGTGATGGGCGGGCCGCGTGTGGCTGGTGAGGCTAGCTAGTTGGATGGCAACGGAGGTTGCAGCTACATGCGTCATCCGAGGCACTGTCAAGCACTGCTTGGGTTTCGCAAGTACACGAGACATGCACACACACTTTGGCAAGGCTCGCGCTCGGAATGGTTTGTCTTCCCCGCGCCGAAGAGGGTCCTCGAGCGGGAGGATGACGGTGCATCTGCGTCAACGTGCCTTGGAAAAGGCGACACCCCCGCCGCTCGAGATCTCGATCCCGCCCTGTACCGCACGCTCTTTGGGCCCCCATGACTGTGGAAATGGCCCAGTACGTATGGGCATGGGGCACTCCGTAGAGCACACCGACCCCTAAGATTGGAATGGAGACTAGTACTGGACTGGACAGTACCTAATTATTGTTCGCTCAATCTCTTTGTATGCACAGTAATTTAGCTTTCAATCGCAAACCAAGGCACCCTGCAAGCGGGCCACGCGACAGTGACATCATCGCTTCACATGCAAGACAGACCCATGGGTTCTACCACGGGTACTGTACCTGCGCAGAAAGCTAACGTCTGGAGATACCAAGGGGTTGGATTCTGGTATTCAACGGGAGTGAATGCGCCATCTCGCCAAGTTTGATAGCGCCACTGCATGAGCATCATGGCGAGTTTTGCTACCGAACAGCTGAATCATGCCGAAAGCCGCCCCTCACGGCTTCTGGCACAAGTCCACCAGTTGGCCAAGTAACCCTGGCTGAGTGAAGAATGGAGATGTCCATGATGAAGAGCAAGAGACTGCCAAGGCCCACATCAGGCGAGTTAGCTCGACCTTCGGCATTCAACTGCCAAGGATCCGGTTGGCCATGAGCTGCCATCGTGCCGTGTTTGAGAAGATGGGTAATTAGGTAGCTACCCGGGAAGACAATTCCACACCGTCCAAGCGTCCCTCCGTGCCGAGCATCGACTTGGCACTGTCGTAGGCTACTCTGGGAGGGAAGCTGCCTTGTGTCACCGCCAACAAGGTGAACGCGCCCGTGGGTTGTCGAGAGATGCTGGGGCAAACAGGGCAAGGGTTACCTTCGTTTCCTCGGCCATCTTCCCCCACCTCTCAAACGAAGGATCGAGTCAGGGGTTGACTATGGAAATGCATATTAGAGGATCTCGGCTACTCATCGAGCATTCAGGCAGCCCAAGAGTCGAGTAGTAGAACAAGTAAAAGGAGAAGGAAAATACGGTCGTGCTTACTTTTATCTCAGAAAAGCTTGGTCTCAAGCGAAAGGAGTTAACCTAAGCGAAGGCCTTAACACGACGAGCGACTGGCTACCCGTGAGGCCGACTTGAAAGGAGATGATGCGTGTAAAAGGGGCGTCCAGAATCTGGCGGTGAGACTGCAGGCAGGACAGTTATAGACTGTCTCTGCGATGCTTCGTAGAGCATCCCCAATTAGAACATGGGCGCCATAAGATATACTGACTACAAGTAGCTGTGCATAATGATCACGCTGAAAAAGGTAAAGAGAGGAGTTTGTCCAGGTTCACCCTCTAGCGCTGTCGGCTCATCTACCTCTACCCATAGCCGTATGAGCAGGAATAGCAACTAGAAGATGTATATAAATAGCTTTGATTTCTTTAATTTAATTGCATGATATATGCAGCTATATAAATGTCTGGCTATAGAGTGCGTATGATCGCGAGATACTTTAGCTTATATGCGAATGCCGCCAAATTGATATACTGCCTGGTAGGCGGGTTCCCTGCCCAATACGGCCAGACACAGGGAGGATCACAGGACGCCTCGCCCTTGCGGAAATGCAACGCTAGGTGAAGCGCACGGACCATGTGTTGCGAGTGATATACTTGCAAACACTTGGCCCCTTTTTGTTGCAGAAATCCTCGAGATCGAACCTCGGGGCCACCGTCGGTTCGACGCCAAGCTACGTGCTCCACGATACCCGCCTTGCCCCCAACACCATGCCGGCCATATTGGACCTCCTTGGGCGGGATCCAATCACGTACGAATCGGCATGCAAGTCAGAATCCAACATCATCAACAAACTGGGTTACGTCTCCGCAGCCAAACATCTATTTGCCGACCTCTGGATGCAACGGCGGTCAATCGCGGCCCTGACGAAACATCACCTCGGGCTTGGTCCAGAGGACAGCTGTACCGTTCTCTACTTCCCTGAGTGGATGCGAGGCAGCTTCAATGCCTGCATCCCCGTGGAAATAAAGTCTGGTGGCGTGACTCGGAAGCTCGTCTTTCGTTGCCCTATGCCACATAAGCTTGCTGAATCAAGATATGCCGGCACCGTCAATGAGAAACTCCACTGCGAGGTCGCGACGTATGTATGGATGCAGGAGAGGTGCTCTGATATCCGCATTCCGCACCTATTTGGCTTTGGCTTCTTAGACGGCCACCATGTAGGTACCTGTCTTGGCACTGCATACTTCGTAGACCGACCGTCTAAGCTGACTAGACGGATCTCTAGTATACGCATTCCAGTCATCGCCCATTATACATCCGCATCGCACAGACTATTCGCCGTTATATCCACAGAGTCCTCCGATGGCCTATGCTCTCCAACTATACCCATCATGATCCAACAAGTCTTCGCCTGGACTCGGCCTACATGCTGCTTGAATACATTGGGCCGGATACTGGAGAAGTGCTATCAAATACGTGGCGTGAGCACATAGACGACTCGGATCGACGACAAAGACTATTTGGCGGCATTTCTCGCATTATGCTTTCTCTTGCGCGTATTCCCCAGCCGCGAATTGGGTCCTTTCGATTCAACCATGATGGAACGATAACGCTAACCAACCGTGCCTTGTCTTGCTCGATGATGATACTGGAAAATGACGGCACGGAGAGAACGATTCAGAGCAACGATACCTATAATTCTTCTGAAAAATTCGTATCAGAAATGCTCACTTTTCATGATAATCGCTTCCTCAGTCAGCCAAATGCCGTCTTCAGCGAGAGCGACTGCCGCAGCCAAATGGCAGTCAAGACAGTGCTCCGTGCGCTCTCCCACCGTTATATCAAACGGGAATATAGCCAGGGTCCCTTTCTACTCCAGCTCACCGACTTACACCAAAGCAACATACTTGTTGACCAGCAATGGAACATCACATGTTTGATTGACCTAGAGTGGGCCTGCTCCCTTCCCGCCGAGATGCTTCGTGTTCCATACTGGTTGACAGGGCTCTCTGTCGATGAGATTAAACTTAAATATGAGCAATATGCCAAGTTCGACAACGTACGCCACGAATTTCTTTTAATCTTTGAGCAAATCGAGCAGAAGACTACGGTAGAGCATGACATGCAAGTGTCACAGATTATGAAAGACATGTGGGAGTCGAAAGGAACGTGGTTTTGGCATTGTATATCCTCGGTGAATGCTATGTATGTTCTTTTGCGACAGCACCTATGCTCGCTGAGCCCAGACGCTGAGAGAACCGTATCTGAGTTTTGGTGTCGAAACTCGAAGGATATTGTTCAAAGAAAACTTGTTGACAAGAAAGAATATGACGATCGGTTGAGGCGGTTGTTTAGTGAGCCAGTGTCCGCTAAGACGGATTGTTGAATCAAAATTCGAAGATAAATGCAGTTTAGATAACTTCTTCGGAAGCGACTGGTGGTGTGAAGAGCCCACTATAGCCTTGGCGAAATTGTGGCGTTCCTGAGTCCCATATGTCTATCTTTTATCGCTTTGTGGTTTCCTTTGCCTGCTGATCCTGATTCTTCTCCCCCCCTTGCCCGTTGTCATTTATTACTATGCCACGCTTGACGCGGGCACTTTCACCAGATGAAAGTGCGGCTGCCAAATCCTTAACATTGCCCTTCATACCATAGCCCGCATCCTCTACAATGACAGTATACTCGGCCGAGGAGCGGTAGCCCTAATCGTCGTTTCCGGTACCTGCCATTTTATATAGCAATATTATGAGCGATGTGCGTTTTATTACTAGCTTAAAACCGCTGGTATGGGTGGATGGATGTTACATGCGTATTCCACTCGCGGCGGTCTTGGACTTTATAGGTAGATGCCTGATGTTTTCCCAGTCATTTGACGGGCACGATTCCTGCGAGCAGCCGCATAACCTGCAGCATAGCCATCGAGAAGAGGTTCACTTGAGCGGCAACAAGGTATGCATATGCGAGCGCTTCATTCACAGACCAACATATCATGCGGGCGCCACATTTACAAACCAACATAGCGAGTGTTCTTTAGCTAAAACGAGCCCCCCGTCCTGCGCTGCGTGATATTGAGTTCACATCCTGTTATCGTATCATCTGTTGCCGTCATTTTTGTGGCAAAGTTGGGAGAAAGAATGGCAGCCAGCTCACGTTGCTGCCTAGAGTCGGCGGCAGGTAGACTGTCCATGTTGCAGCAGGGGAACTCAGGCGCTTAGATATAGGATTCCAATGCTACCTTGATTCTTTAGCTGCATGTTGTCTCCTTACATGGCGCAGCAACGACCAACAAGGGCTGCAACCTGTCAATGTCGCAGCAAGGCGAACGTATGCAGTCCGGGCGCCCAGATGCAATATCTCAGTACTACCTAAGCCATGTTATTGTCAGGGCTAGACAAACTGTTGGACCAGGGAGAGTTGGGGGCGGGCGGGGGGTGGTGCAAAAGGTAGAGACCGAGGTTTCACCCTCGCGTTGAGGAAATCATTGGCCTCGTCGCTCCTCCGCAGACAGCTACAAGTACGAGTCACCGAGGGCTTGGGTCTCGAGCTGTCCTTATCAAGCAAGAGAAGCATGGGCATCTCCAGGCCCTGACTAGCCAGTATCCCAGTCTGACCACCCAATATACTAAAAACCTTAAGTCAGACTGGGATACTGGCTAGTCAGGGCCTAAGTATACCAATCACAGTGTTTCTGTTTTCAGTAGGATCTTACACACTAAACTGTATTAGCCTTTTCTTGGTCAGACCTGCCGCCGAGAGAGTAACAACTCACGATTCTGTCAAAACAGTCAGTAGCATTTACTAGGCTCTGTATAGCCAACAGAATAACCACTTCCGGTCTAATGAATCCATTAGCATGCCTCTAGTGACCAGACGCCCCTTCTAGAGCGCAATTTACCCCCTGGGTTCGCCCAGCTATATTAGCATAGTATATCTTTCACCAACGGGGTGGCAATTCGCTTTACGTGCTATAATTACCAGCTCTGTTAGTACCGGACGAGGCTATATCTAAAGATGAGAAGCTTACTGGCTAGAGTTGCCATTTGTATCAGCATGCCGCCGGCAGTAATATGTCCCATCAATTGCAGGAAGGAAGGTACTGGCACACTAGACGTCGTATCCGCATATCGGTATTAGTTAGATACTGCGTCGCAAGGATGTGGAAACGTACACACTCGTGTTATATTAGCATACTGTAGTTGTCGCGAAGCGTGGCCTAATATCGCAGTTCTCGGAGATATCCCTTAGCAAGAGGGACCTAGGAAGCTAAGAAACACCGGTATAGAAGAAGGAAGGAGGAGCTAAAAGGAGGTGCAGAGAAGAGGGTAGGGGTAAGAGGGGAAGTAGAAGTGGCGATAGCTTCCTATAGAGGTAGCGAGAGATAAGACGGATATGCCGGTAACGGCTAGAATAGAGGGGAAAAACCGGTAAAAAGCTCGGTAGTTAAAAGGATATTAGTAGCTTCTTTAAGCAGGATCTTCTTTATTAATTAAGATGCTAGATAGGTATAAAGAGGGGCGTTAGATAGAGGAAAGAAGGAGAATTAAGGCAATATAATAATTACTCCCCTACTATAATTACTGCCCCTATAAGAATTATATATCTTTGCCCTACCTATCTAACCCCTTACTTTTAATTTTACCTTTATATATTTTTTATATACTTCTTATATCTCTCTTTATAAGAATAATAGCGCTATTTATAGTAATCCTTACTATTAAGTAAAGTATATATTTATAAGGTTAATAGTACTATAAGTATCTAAGTATATAAGGACTTTAATAAGGTTTCGCTTTAATATTATTATAAGAGTTTTAAGTAACTATCTTATAAGTATTAAGTTTATTAAAGGAAAAGCGTTTACTTTAATATCTTACCTTTTCCTTATTTTATAGTATTAAGTCTAAGAGTCTTTACTAAGGTTTTTACTTTTATAGAATTAGTATATTCTATAAATAGGTATCCTAGCTTATTATATTAAAAATATATAACTCTTAATTAAGTAGAAGATCCTCTTCCTTAATAACGTTCTTTAGTTTAGCCCTTAATAGGTATATTACTAGCTTATTAGTTATTAGTTAAATCGGTAGTATTTCCTTAATAATTTAGCTTAGCTTATTAGCCTCTTTAATTCCTCCCTTTATATATACTACCTTAGGGTATAATACTATTTCTATTCTTAGTTCCTTTAAAGGTAAAAGTAGTATTAATATATTACTTCTTACCTTAGCTAACTACCTCCCCTACTAAGGCGACCCGGGAAAGGGAGAGGACTTACGATAACGGGTCTATAGCATCGACTAAATCGGACCCGGACTAAGCGTAAACCTCGCCGCTTAAACTACGGACTAAATAGAACTAATATAACCTAACCGAGCCGGCCTTAATAGCTATAGAATAAGACCTACTACTAAAAGACCGTAACCGAATAAGACCTAACCTAAAACTAAACTAAGATAGAGCCGATAACTAGCCCTAAACTACGACCTTAACCTAACTCGTCGGTAGCAACGTCCGCCTCGTTATCGCGGCGGGAACAACGGGACCCCCCTAGGGTAGTACGCGGGGCACGGGAGGGAGTAACCTAAGACTTACGAGGAGTACGGGGACTACTACTACTACGAGAAGCCTAACGACGACCGGCTAGGCCCGACCCTAAACCTAAATAGGAGCTAGTCTAGACGGCTAGCTTATAAGATAGAGTAACGACCGGGGTCTATACTAGGGCAATGTTACGGAGTAGGTAGAGGCGTAGGCGTAGGTGCCGTCCGTAGGATAATATTAATAAGCTATACTAAGCTCTCTTATATATAGCTAGCCCGTATATATACGTATATCTTAAGGTATATGAGCAAAAGCGGAATTTTGGGAAATCAAGGAATCACGTAAGACTACGTGATAGAGGGGAAGAAGGAGTATAAGGTAGGATTTTCAACGGAATTTATTGGTAGTGTATTGGTGTGTGGAAGAGGTGTTAAAGTTGATGATTCTCTATCTATCTACTAGCGGACATGCTATCTTATATAGACAATTGTAGCTGAACGGAAGAACCTTTCGGGACCAGATTTAGGCTGCCGTATAGCCCTAAGACTAGGGAATTCCGTGATATCTCGAGTAAATCTAGAAGTGTCTTGGTTCCACTGATATTCGTGTTTAGAGGAGGTTGGTCGTGCCGGTATTCTTAAGAGGTCTTAGCTAGCATTCTAAGCTAGCTCTATTCCTTCGATTCCCGATTATACGATAACCGGCAACCCGTTTAATATATAATGACATGTAAAATAACGAGCAATTCTTGCTCTATAGGATAAGATTTTGTCTATAATTAATATACTACTTATTGGCTTATATAATCGGGAGAGTATATTATAGCTGCTTTATTTATAGTAGGAACACCGTTC